AACATCCTGATCTTAGGTCCAGAGAAACAATGTGTGAAAGCTCTGAAGTGAAAAAAGGACATATACAGCTAGTGAGTCAGGTCAGATAGGGCAGAAGACAGAGCAGTGCTTGATCATGCGGTTTTGTGGGCTACATTAAGAATTTTATTTTGGGGGGCACCAGGGTGGCTCAGTGGGTTAAGCCTCTGCCTTCAGCTCAGGTCATGATCTCGGAGTCCGGGGGTGGAGTCCCACATTGGGCTCCCTGCTGAGCAGGGAGCCTGCTTCCCCTTCTCCCTCTGCTGCTCCCTTTGCTTGTGCTATCTCTCCTTCTCTCACTCTATCAAATAAATAATTTTAAAAAAATCTAAAAAAAAAAAAAGAATTTTATTTTGGGAAGAAAAAAAGTTTATTTTGGGGTACCAGGCTCAGTCAGTGGAGCATGCAACTCTTGGTCTTGGGGTTGTAAATTCAAGCCCCGTGCTGAGCACAGAGATTAATTAAAAATATAATCTTTAAAAAAATTTGATTTTAATCTTATTAGTAATGAGAAATCACTAAAGGCTCTTGAATGGTATGAAGCTATGAATATGAAGAATGGGTAAGAGACGCAAAAGTAGGTATGAGGCAGCTGGTACAAGGCAGACAGCAGTGAGGCTTGGGTCATGTGAACTAGAGAGGAAGTAAGTTTGGAAAGGAGTGACTGAACATATAAATGGACAATGGCCATGGCCAGACTATATAAAGACCATAAAACAGAACTCTGATCTGCAAATGCTACAGCAACCAGTTGAGGAAGCCCAACCATGACCTGGGTAGCAACTGGCCTCAAATAGTCCATATTCTCTCAGTAACTACCAGGTTCCCTAATTTTGCCCTTCTTTACTCTGATCCCAATTCAGGACTAAGGAGAGAAAGCCATATATGCACCCCAAACCAATCACATAGGAAGCCTCATTTCTAGGTAGCCTGACTTCAACTTCCCCATACCAACAACTTCCAATCAGATCATACCTCAAAGCCTTCTCTTTTTTCACTATAAAACTTTCCAACTCCCCTGCTTATCTCTTGTCCTCAGCCAAAAACAAATGACAGCTGCTGAATCAGCTCTGAATAAATAGGCTTTACTGGTTTTCATTTGGATGGTCTTCTCCCCCCAGTCAGTGTAAAGAAGAGATTTAGGCCAAAGGAATGGGTGAAACACATTGTGTTTTAAGTACACTTCAATTAAAATGAAAAACCAAAATGGGGCGCCCGGATGGCTCAGTGGGTTAAGCGTCGGCCTTTGGCCCAGGTCATGATCCTAGTGATCCAGCCCCTGGGACAGAGCCCCATGTCCTACTCTCTGCTCAGTAGGGAGACTGCTTCTCCCTCTCTGTCTGCTGCTTGTTTCCCCTGCTTGTGCTTTTTCTCTCAGATAAATAAATAAAATCTAAAAAAAAAAGTAAAATAAATAAAATACTGAAACCTTAAATAAAGAAATAAATAAAGAAAGAAGGAAAGGCTGAAATGGAGTAGAAGAAGGTAGAGGAAAACTAGAGCTTGCAAGCCTTTTAGGTATGATTAAGTCTACCTAGGAGACAGAGGGTTGGCTGAGAACTTGATGGAAAAGCAGTATAGTGTCAGAAATCTAAGGTAAGGGATTTTTGCAGACATAGTTGTTAGGCTATTTTATTTTAAAGATTTATTTATTTATTTATTTGAGAGAGAGAGAAAAAGAAAGAGAGAGAACACGAATCTCAAGCAAGACTGTGCTGAGCTTGCAGCCTGAGGGCGGGGCTCAATCCCAGGACCCCGAGATCATGACCTGAACAGAAATTAAGAGTCAGCCACTTCACCAACCCAGCTGCCCAGGTGCCCCAATGGCTATTTTAAAGGTGTAAAAGGATTAGAGTGGCTTGAGGTGTGGATGGAAAATAATGGATCAGACAGGGTGCCTGGCTGGGTTGGTCAACAGAGGATGCAGCTCTGATCTCAGGGTCATGACGAAGGATAGTTGCAAGGCATGCTGGCAGCAACAACAACGCTCCCCCTGCCCCCCCACCGCCCTCCCTCTCCCCACTCCCTCCCCAAGAGGAAACCACCCTTAAAGGGATTTTATACCACCCTGGAAGGAGCCCTCCACCCTTTCCCACGTGGCAAAAACCTGGTTGGATGACAGGTGCAGGGAGGGTTAATCAGATTAAAACAGCCCTCCCATGAGCCCGGTTAAACCCTAAGACTTAGAAATTCCACTGGCAAGCCTCTTGGGTCCCCTCCCTTCTTGGGAGCTTAGTACTCTGACTTTGCTATCGCCCAATAAACCTTGGTTTGCTGCCCACCAGTCTATCTGGTCTAACTCTTCATTCTTCAAAGTGGCATGACTGAGAACAGGGCACTGTGAGCACTGATGGACCTGTAACAAACTGAGTTCGGGCACAGTGTTAGGTGTAGGGTTTACAATTAAATATAACAAGAGTATTGAAAAAGAAAATAGTGGATCAGAAATGAAGAGTACAGAAGACTGGTTTGAGAGCATTCACAGAGAAGTGCCCGGGCTGTGTGTTGTCTATTTTAGTATGTAGTCTTATCAGCATTTTTTTTTTAATTTTACGGATTTTATTTATTTGCGAGAGAGTGCGTGCACAAGCAGGAGGGAGGTGCAGGCAGAGGGGAGAAGCAGGCTCCCTGCTCAGTTCGATGTGGAACTTGATCCCAGGACCTCAGGATCATGACCTGGTCCACAGGCGGACTAGACCCTTAGCCGACTGAGCCACCCACACAGCCCTCTTACCATGTTTAAATCTCCATGTTGTTACATAATCCAGAGATCGAGGAGAATGAACAAAATGTTTAAGGGACAGTTTCAGATTCCTGATAAAGTGGGAAGGGATGGGGAGGGGACCCACAACAGAGAAGAAGGAATGGCCTTGCTTTCTCAGGCGGTGGGAGGGCAGAGGAGGATTGGGGTGAGCAGGGTGGAGATCGGATTAGATGGGATTCTAGTTTGGTGCTGGGAAGTTGAGGGATACACCATCTGAAGACTTTTCTTTGTAATGTGAAGAGGCAAGGTCAGCTGCTAAAAATGCAAAGAAGGGCCTAAAACCAGAGGTTTTAAGAAAAATTAAGTACCAGTGATTGTGGAGCATGAAGCAGCAAGCTGAGCACAGAAATGCAGTGGGAGCTTGCCAGACGATAAGGGGGAGATGATGAATTTAAAAGTGGTTCCAGGGGGCGCCTGGGTGGCTCAGTGGGTTAAACCATGATCAGATCATGATCTCAGGGTCCTGGGATTAAGCCCTCCATTGGGCTCTCTGCTCAGCAGGGATCCTGCTTCCCCCTCCCCCTCTGCCTACTTGTGATCTGTCAAATAAATAAATAAAAATATAAAAAAAAGATTTTATTTATTTAATTGACAGAGAGAGATCGTAAGTAGGCCGAGGGGCAGGCAGAGAGAGGGGAAGGGAAGCAGGCTCCCCGCTGAGCAGAGAGCCTGAGGCGGGGCTTGATCTCAGGACCCTGGGATCATGACTTGAGCTGACTGAAAGCAGAGCCTTAACCCACTGAGCCACCAAGGTGCCCCTAAATAAAAATCTTTAAAAAAAATAAATAAAAGTGGTTCCAGTCTGGCTTCTTGTGTATCCTCCAGCAGCAGGAACATGACTGGATGGAGACGTCAGGATTCTTCCAAAACAGTGTGATGAAGACAGAACAACAAAGGGTGACCTATGATGTTGGCAGCAATTATGGAAATAATGAATTAGAGAATCTTAGTTGGAGGATGGAAAGACTCAGGAGGACTGGTGGACCTGGGGAAGGACGGTCAGTACTCTGGTGGAAGGCCTGATGAGGTGCCAGTGGCCGCTACTCAGAGTTCAGTTTGTCAAGTTAGTATTAGGAAATAAAGCTGAAAATATGTGTTAGGGTGTCATTGTAGTTAAGTCTTAACTGCTAAGATAATAACTCAAAGTTTCATTTCACTTCTGTTAGCATTTATGGACTGCCTCGCTGTATTCAGGGACATTTTCATCGGCTAATGATACGAAGATCAACCCAACCCAGTGTGGAGAGGTTCGCTTAGCCACTCCATGGCACTGCCGCCTCCAGATCCAGTGTTTTGTAACCAAGCAGCCAGCAGGGGTCCTGTGCTGACACCAGCCTCTCTGGCAAGCTCCTATGGAGCGCAGCTGTAGAACCACCAGCAAAGTAGCAAAGAAATGGAAATTCAGGTATCACTTCCCAACAGCCCTTGTGATCAAATCTCCCTTGCCTCCCAGGGCCCCTGTATTTTAAGTAGCCCTTAGATATGAACCCTTGCGGGGGGTGGGGAACTCCCCACCTTGGGTTTGAATTGACCCGATCAAGACCCTAACCCAGGAATCCCAAAGCACTCCACCCAGTCTGGAATATTGGCATGTGCCCTGGGGCTGGTCTCTAGGTCGGCATTTCCCTTGACCTCCCCCAGGTGACCCCTCCAGGCACATTGCGCACTTTCTCCAGGACCTATGAGTCATGAAGTTCCCTATTTCCAATCACCTGTGGGCCAGCTTTGAACTAAGGTTGAGGGCTCATTGTTCTGTACTGGTGCTCCACTTAACAAATGTTAATGTAACAAAGCAGAACACCCACCCTCTGCCTTCAGGGAATTTACATCCTGGGGAGGAAGGGAGGGAGGAGTACAGGCAATTAAGGTTTACAATGCAGTGAGGCAAGTACTTTGACGGAATTACACAAATAGGGTGAGGGACAGTGTAGACATCTAATGCAATTCATAGGGGCATCAACCTCTGGGAAGCTTTTCTCAAGGATGAATGAACAGCGAGGAAAAGCGTCAAGTAAGGACACTGCAGGCAGAAGTATACTTTGAGGAACAGCTAGAGCTGAAGAACACGAACTCGAAAGTCATGTTAATAATAAACTCTGGCTCCTATCAATTTAGCAGCTACCCCGTGCTAGGTAGGGTATGGCCAAGTTAACACCATTACTAACTCCAACTTAATGGTCTAGAAGCTAAGAGATCTTAAGCCAGACAAGTGACTTACCAGTGACCACCAGTGAGTCAGCTTGTGGTCAGAGTTTGAATCCACAGAGGCTGGTGTTAATTCTTTCTTATCCCTTCTAGAGAGGGAAGGCGGAGAAGAGGTGACAGGATGCTGGAGAGGTGTTATTTCGTAAGGTCTTGTTTCTTAAATTGTGGAAGTTCTCACTATCCTGAAGGCTACAGGGACAATCACTTAAGATGTGACATGGTTGGATTTACAGTTTAGGAAGAATCAGTTGATAAAAGAAAAAAAAAAAAAGGATTTTCCAGAACTGGAGGCTGGAGTGATGAGTTAAGGAGTTGAAGTCATGCCGGAGAGCTCTAACAGGTACTAAGATAGTGGTAACAGAGATGAAGGGGGAGCAGATTTTTAAAAATATTTCAAGGTAGAAATGATAGGCCTGGGAGACCAACCAGAACTGGGTACTACAGCACGGGCAGCTCAAAGAGTAACACTGAGGGATGCTGGGTGTCTCAGTTGGTTAAGTCTCTGCCTTTGGCTCAGGTCATGATCCCTGGGTCCTGGGATTGGGCCCCACATCAGGCTCCCTGCTTGGTAAAGAGCCTGCTTCTCCCTCTCCCCCTGCTTGTGCTCTCTCTTGCTATTTCTCTCTCTCCCACAAATAAATGCAATCTTTAAAAATTTTTTTTTAAAATTTACACTGTCAAGGTAAAATATATATTTCATAGCACAGAGCTTGATACATAGTAAACATCTAATATATGATAGCTCTACAATTATTCTCCAGATTCCGAGACATATCTGAGTGGAAGGAATTGAAGACTTTACTTTTAAGTGTTCATTCACTCGTTCATCAAATATTTCTGTGGAGCTTATGGCAGTCACTGGGTGTATAGCTGTCATCAAAGCAAAGTCTCTGTTCTTATGGAACTTACATTCTAATGAAGAGAGGCAGATACTAAACAGTAACAAAATCTGGTGGCAGGTGTCATGGAGAAAAACAAACCATGAAAAAGGAAATAGAGTTACCTTGGGTGGAATGAGGTACTGCTTTTTTTTTTTTTTAAAGATTTTATTTATTTATTTGCCAGACAGAGATCACAAGTAGGCAGAGAGGTGGGCAGAAGAGAGAGGTTGGGGGTTAGCAGGCTCCCTGCTGAGCAGAGAGCTGGATGTGGGCTCTCTCTCCTAGGATGCTGGGATCATGACCAGAGCTGAAGGCAAAGGCCACCCACTGAACCACCCAGGCACCCCTGAGGTACTGCTTTCTTATATGAGTTTATTTTTGCATTGTGTATTTATTTTAAAGATTTATTTATTTATCTGAGAGACAGAGAAAGAGAGAGAAGCCACCGGGTGAAGGGGCAGAGAAGAGAGAAACTTAAGCAGACTTACACAGAGCACAGAGCCTGATGTGGGACTCAATCTCAGGACCCTGAGATCATGACCTGAGCAGAAATCAAGAGTCAGGCACTTGACTGACTGGGCCACCTAGGTGCCCCAGTGTTGCAGAGAACAGATGCAGGGAAGTCCTTCCTGATGACATCTACAATGTTGGAACAGAGAACTGAGTTACAAGAATAAGCTATGGGTATGCAGAAGTCATGGCAGAGATTTGCAAATGCACTGTAGGCATGAACTTGAAGTGACTGAGAACAGCTAAGGTGATTTCAAGTAGGCAATTGGACACCGTGTACAGGTACTGAAAGGAATAGTGATTTGTTTCAAAGATAATAAAAATGGAGCATGGTATCATCAAAACCAAGGAAAATCTATTCGTTATCTGACCTATAGCAAGATAACTGAGACCAGAATCAAAATGTGTTCACTGGATTGAGAAGTCACTGTTTATCTTTCCCAGAATGCAGCAGGGAGCAGATGGTAAGAAAGGAAACAGCCACCTTTTCAAGAAATTTGGCTACGCAGAGAAGAACCTAGGCTAGTCACTAGAGAGCACCATGGGGTTAGTGGTGCACGTGTTTTCCTCTTCTTAAAAGAAGAAACAAACCAGTTTTGACATACTGAACCATCTGAGTAAGAAAGGGAGTGACTGTTAGATCAAGGTTCTTGAGGTATAGAGAGATTAACCATACCCAGGAGAGGAAAAGAAAACAGAAGTTGTAGCAGATGTAAATGTAGTCTGAGTGCAGTCTAATTTTAAAGCTTGATGATCTCCATTTTCTCTGGAAGAGAAATTATCTCTTATGAATTGGAAAAGGTTCAGAAGTTCAAGGAAACTAGAGGTCATTAGAGGTTTAAATGTAGGCATATGGGAATCAGAGGTGCCTGAAAGTAAGTAGGAGTTTTTCTCAGGGGCACCTGGCTAGCATAGTCAGAAGAATATGCCACTCTTGATCTTGGGGTTGTGAGTTCAAGCCCTACACTGAGTGTAGAGTTTACAAAAAAAAAAAAAATGTTTTCTCAGAAAGTCCTGCTAATGTGGAAGATAAAATGCTTCACAAAAGTAGAGATTCTGTGCTTTAGAGAGTTGGCTTTCACAGTTCAGCCAAAGAGACAGCATGCAATGAGAAGGGCCAAGACAATAAATAGGACAATTGCAGAAAGAATTGGCAGGCAGGGCTAGAGGACTGGTCAAAGGAGTGGGAAGCCTGTAACTGTGAGGAGGTAAGAATAAGGCAAAAAGTAGAGAATACTTAATATTTGAATGGTAGTCAAGAGTGACAAGAGAGTATTAGCTGGTCTCAATTTAAAATAATGTATTAAAATGTACCTTTACCAGGGCCTGGGTGGCTCAGTCAGTTAAGCATCCAGCTCTTGGTTTCAGCTCAGGTCAGGATCTCCCTGTATGAGATCCACCCCTCCCCGACCCCCACCTTGGTGCTCAGCCCCAGTCTGCTTGAAATTATTCCTCTCCTCCTCCCCCCCCCCACCCTCCTTCGCACCCCCACCCTCCCACAGCCCTGCTCAGGAGCTCTCTAAAATAAATAAATCTTTTTTAAATAAAAAAAAAATTAAATCTACTTTACCAAAAACCCTTTCATAGCCATTGCCTCTGGGAAATGAAGGGCCAAAGGTTAGACTAGGAGACTTTTTACTTGCGACTTTACATTCTTTCATACTGTTAGGAAAAGATTTTACAACATGAACATATGTCACAATTATTTAAAAGCCAGACAGGGGTGCCTGGCTGGCTCAATCATTGGACCATATGACTCTTAATCTCGGGATTGTAAATTCAAGCACCATGTTGGATGTAGAGATTATATTAAAGTGTGATAGAGTATGTATTAATAGGTTATGTAGTTCTCTAGAGTATCTATTTATTTTAAAGATTTATTTATTTATTTATTTGACAGACAGAGATCATGAGTAGGCAGAGAGGCAGGCAGAGAGAGAGAGAGGAGGAAGCAGGCCCCCCGCTAAGCAGAGAGCCTGATGTAGGGCTCGATCCCAGGACCCTCGGATCATGACCTGAGCCAAAGGCAGAGGCTTTCACCCACTAAGCCGCCCAGGTGCCCCGAGTATCTATTTATTTTTAAGATTTTATTTATTTGAGAGAGAGAGAGAGAGCACAAGCTGGGGTAAGAGCAGAGGGAAAGGGAGAAGCAGACTCCCTGCTGAACAGGGAGTCCAGGGTTACATCCCATCCTGACCTGAGCCAAAGGTAGACGTTTAACTGAATGAGCTGCCCAGCCGCCCCCTAGAGTACGTATTTATAAAGAAAAGCATTGATGTAGTGAGATTTTATGGGTGAATGAGAAAAATCATTAGAATTGAAGGATCCTACCTCATTTTCCACTCTAACACTCTCACATTAGCCTGTAAACTTGGATTTCCTGACATCCTTTCTCTTGTTTTCCTCCACTCTAATTCACTTAGGGGTGAACCTGATGCCAACTTATTCCAGCAAGAAAAAACATTTATCAAGAGAATGAATTTTAGGGGTATCTGGGTGGCTCAGTCAGTTAAGTGTCTGCCTTCGGCAAAAGTCATTATCCCAGGGTCCTGGGAGTGAGCCCCACATCGGGCTCAGGGAGCCTGCTTCTCCCTCTCCCTCTGCCTGCCTCTCTGCCTACTTGCACTCTCTCTCTGTGTCAAATAAATAAAATCTTCAAAGAATGAACTTCACACAGCATATTTCTCTATTTAATTAACTCAGTTGTACAGTTTGGAAAATGTCTCTGAAGATCATGGAGAAGGACTCAAGGAGCTGGTAAAATTTACATGGCAATGATAATAGGACATTCTTATTAAGGGAGCTAAAAGTGTAAGCTACTTCAAAGGTTAGTCTGGACAATTTCCAAAGTCAACTGTTTACCTTACCTATCCTTTTTCAGCCTTACATGACCCTAGCTGTAACCATGTGTGATTTTTATCTAAAACATGCAGAAAACAGGAGTGCCTGGCTGGCTCAGTCAGCAGAGCACAGAAACTCTTGATCTCTGGGTCATGAGTTCAAGCCCCATGATAGGTGTAAAGCTTACATAAAAAATAGTGGAGACAAACAAAACATGGAGAAAACAGAGGGGGGATAAGTGAAAGGGAGGTTCTGCCTTAGAGTTCCACTACCTAGGTCTCTAGTGATTTAGCCAACTGTCAAGTTGTTGTGTTGCAGAACATGTAAAAAAGTGTTCAAGTATTTGGGACAAATGAGGATTACGCTTTCACATCTGAAGGTGGTGCTTGTTACTACAGCATCGTTGAGCAAGATCCTGGAAAAGTATCTTAATATTTAATCCATGTTGGCTCTTATGCTATCACTGGATTTCAAAATGGGAGTTTTATACATTCTTCGAAGAACTTTAATTGGAATGTAGGGCTGGTCTAATCTAAAGAGAAATGAGAAAATCGATACTGTAACCCGAGGAGCGGTTGTTTACAGCAATCAGCCAAATTTGGTAAAGGACTGCTCTTATTAAATGGTTGACATGGCTTTTCTTTAGATTGCCCTTTGGTTTACAAAGTTTTCCTTAACTCTGACAATTCAAATTTCACCACTCTATCTTGTTTACTTGTGACCCTTGTTTTTAGGGCAGGTGGTTTGTGCAGAAAGCTGATACAACCTGGGGCTGCAGGCTTTTATTTGCGTTCCGCAAGGTATCTTCCTCAGTATATGCAGGAATTCCCTTGCTACTGTGGAACGCCTCCTCTCCTCTTTGTTATTTGTGGAGGAGTGCTGGGAAAGTCTTGAACTTCTCCACTCCTCCTAAGCACAGATTTTACCGCTATTTGTATGTGGGACTGAAATGCATTATCGACACATGCCAAAGGATTTTTTAGCATCGAAAATGTTTTAGCCCCTACTAATTGGCTTCTCAGGAATTTCTTACTGTATCTTTCTGGATTTTTCCACTAGACCTGTTTTTCATATTTTGATAGCAAAGGGTAATTTGTTACAGATACAGGTGTAGAGAACTTGGCTTTTTGTCTTAGCCCTCTTGATAAATGATTACTCATTTGCTCCTTCGTTTAATGTCCCACTATGGGACTTTCACCAGGTTTGGAAAGCATGTATTATTGAACAAGAGGCACGGCAACCATGAATGAATAGTGCCTTGAATGAATAGTGCCATAAACACAACAGTCTACACACCAACTGAATAAGCTAATTTAGCTATTGCCTCTGTATGCTAACCAGCTGAGGGCTATTTCAATGGCATTTTTTAAAGGATGATATATTTTAGAAGAATTAAAGAGCTTAAAATAATTACAATGGAATGCCAAGTCATTTATTTTTTAGTATGAAGAAATACACACTTGGTCAGTGTTTGAAGTTAATTGATTCAAGCAATGTTACTGGTAGTGGTGCTGGATAAAATCATTGGCCTTTCAATGAATGTAAGGAAAAAAAGAGGCAGGGGAGAGAGAGAGGAGCAAAACTCTATTCAGAATTTATCCTTAAAGATGCAGCAACCATCAAGACCAACTCTATGAGTTGGTATCAATATTAAATTGGTGTTGTACATTAAAAGAAATATTGCCAAGAAAAAGAAACTGGTTTAATAAATCATTAAAATATCGAGGATGGTACTTGGTTTATATGGTGTCATTGGGCAAATATCTCCAAAGGCTTTCCAAGGACACAATGGTCTTAGGAGAAATGTGTTTGTTCTGGATGGCACACAGACCTATTCAGCATTTTTCAAAACATATGTTTAAAGATACTCTCATAATTACATTCTCTTGGTACTGGATTTTTCAATTACGAAATTGCTAAACACAAACCACAGTAGTAATCCCCATATTATCACTCACAATCAACAATCATCAAGATTTTCCTGCATTTACTTTATCTCATTGAGCAACTAAAGCAATTCTCACATCTCGTGTCATTTACTGTTTCGTTTGTCAGTATGCATCCCTTGAAATGGTATCACCTTAAAGGTATTATCGCATATTACAAAATATAAATGGACCTTCTTTGATATATCTCATCTGGAACATTGCCTAAATGTAGTAAAATAATTTTCTGTCAGAAATACCTCAGGGGAAGGGCACCCGTGAATGGAGAGGCACGCATCTCCTCTGAAGGCAGTTGTGTCTGTGCAATTTTCTTCTCACAGCCAAATTAGCTGAAAAAAAAAAAAAAAAAAGGGAAATATTAGGAGCAGTTTTCAGAAAATGAATTATTGTTTAATCTGGAGAATGTAAAGGAATATTTTGGATCCAAGATATACTGTGGTTATTTGCTACTTGTTCAGATGTGACTGTGACCTGAAAATGATTATGAATCAAAAACACGGAATATATTCCTAACAGCTCATGTTCATAGCAGGATCTAGCTGTAATAACCTCCTCCTTCCGCAGGACTTCTTCCTCAGTGCTCTTGGACCTTTCGTCCTCTGAAATGAATCAATCACAAATGTTAATTTTACAAGAACATGTCCAAGATGTTCCGTAGTTCAGAAAAGTTTGATTAGCAATTGCTATAAACTGTAAGAAGGGTCAGTTGCTTTCTGAACTGCTGACCCGCACATTTTCTCTTATTTATGTAAAAGGGCAAACTAGGGAATGTCATCTGAAATAACCTCAGCAATCAGACTTCTGATTAACTAAAAAGGAGAGACTGAATTTTTAACCAGCTATGTACTCTTTTCTGCTCTAAATGGAGAAGTAGATTATCAACTGAATAACCTAATGTATTTGGAATAAATATGACCCCCCTCTATTTAAATATTTTTCCTGAGTCAGAAAACCTTCTAATTTTTTTTACTTGCCAAAGTGCTTTGAAGTCTTAAGATATTTGGTTTTGAAGTAAAAGCGCATTAGAGTAACTCTGCTTACTAATTCCTGTTGGTTAAGAACGATGCAGCATACATCATCTTTGAAAAATGTGTCGTCAATTAATGCTATCTTGACCATAAATATTTCTGACATTTTTGGCTCCATTAGCACAATACTACTAAAATTGCATTTTTAAGTGAGACATCTAATTATATAACTAGAAATAACAGCTATCATAACCTGTTTCAAGATTTCATCTGCAACCTGTTACATGATTTTTGTTGTTAATTCAAATTAATAACATTGCCCCACTCCAGCCAGCAACATGTTCTTCTAATCAACTGCTTTGGATTTTATATTTCACCTAAAAATCTGTCCAAGTTTGTTGACCTCTGTCGTGAATAGACCAAACAGTCCCTTTTTTTTTTTTTTTTTTTTTTTTTTTTTTTTTTTACTTAGAAGGACAACATATCTAAAATAGCTAAGGAATAAATTTTCTTTGAATTAAAAAAAACAGTGGCAAAATATTTATCATCATTTTAAAATTCACCTACTTTTTAAAAAAAACATTCAAATACTGGACCTACCAGGATAGGTAACATTCTCCTGAAATCTTACACATTTACCGGTACCTCAAGCACCACTAAGTGATTTTCATCAAGAACATGATCCTGCTCCCTCCCACCTACGGGCCCAAACAGGCAGAAACAAGTTACTCGGTCCACGCACATCAAAGTCCTACCTGGTCTCTGTCCGTTGATAAGAAGAAGACTCATCACGAAAAGCAGACAGGCAAAAAGAAATTGTTGTAACCTCATTTTCCTGCCCCCCTGAAGTAGAGCAAGAGCTCTCAACGTAAACCAGTCTTGAATAGTCTGTGCGGTATCTGTGAGGCTCCCCTCACATTCTACTGACGAGCCTCAGACAACGGCCAGCAGCTTTTTCCAGAAAGGTTAATGATCACATCAGACAAGGTTACTGGTGCTGTGGTCGAGCCTCCCTCGGTCGCAAACCCCTCCTCCCCTCCTCCCCCTCCCCGACACTCCCCTTTATTTCCATAAGCAAATATTGGTGAAGTAAACCATTCAAGCGTGCTGTAACTTAGTGGCAGTCGGCTGTGGAAGCTTCTAGGGGAGACTTAAACTCAATCTGGAGGTGGAGAAATATGTAAAACGAGGCAGGGCTTTGCCCCCTCCCCTCACCATTTGCATCTGTTTAAACTTTGCATTGCCCATATTGGTCCCACATGCAGAAACCAATAGAAATGACAGGAAGTCTCTCTTTTGTCCTCTTCAGAAGGAATTCTGCTGCTCTGACTTAAGACTCCCAAATACTTTGTGGCAGAACATGTGCTGAAATGCTTTCTCTTTACCAAACCCACGGCCAAGTGGTGCCTATTTACTCCAAATCTCTAAATTGCTTAATCTCTGTGGTTTTCTATTAGTATCAACATTCCTGGGGTTTTAGAATGAATGTTCCGAAATGTTTATATTTTTATTTCACAAAGTGCAGTTTAAAAAGTAATGGAGATCACTTTCATCTGCAATACCATCCAGGATTTTTTAAAAAGGAAGTTCAGGAAAGCCACAAACTCATGAAATCTGTGTTCCGTTAAAAATTTTATATGTAGTGGAATACCAGGCTAACATACCACAGGCACAGAAATGAGACGTGGAGAAATGAGTTCTCAGTTCATCTTCCACTGAATTCAGAAGACGCAGGAACAGCCTGCTATTGTCGCTCCCACACATGCGCTGGGATCTTTTTTGAAGCATTTCCTTGTCATATGTAGCTGTCGTAAACAGAAACCACTGTATTTACCTATAAAGCGAACCAAAAGGATGGTATAGATACACTCTAGAACACAGGTAGAACCTAAATACCAAATCTAAAGCATGTGCAACTTATTATAAGTGGCCATTCTAGGGCACTTTAAATAAAATAAAAAAATAAAAGATTTAAATAAAATCTTCTCAAGGTTCAGGGAGTTGATGAACAACCTTGGGCTTCCAGAGATTTGAAATTAATGCACAATTTGTCCTAATGTTATGAGTCACTCTGTGAAATTCCCTGCCTGCCTAATTATGCCTGCACTTTATAACAGGCAATAGCATACAGAATTCTTCAAGTCACTTAAAATCCAATGACTATTTGCCCATTTGATGACTGTGAACATAATGTCAAAGAGTACTACATTCTTGTGCTATATTAGTACATTGCTCCACAAAATCAATGGGATACAAGAATTTGGACTCAAGATATAAAAATGCACCAGAAGAGGGCGCCAGGGTGGCTCAGTCAGTTAAGCATCTGCCTTCAGCTCAGGTCATGATCCCAGGGTCCTGGGATCCAGCCCTGCATTGGGCTCCCTGCTCAGCGGGAAGTCTGCTTCTCCCTCTCCCTCTGCTACTCCCCCTGCTTGTGCTCTCACCCTCAAATAAATAAAATCTTAAAAAAAAAAATGCATTAGGGAGTCTGGCTGGCTCAGTCAGATGAGCTGCAGCTCTTGATCTTTGGGTTGTGAGTTCGAGCCCCACACTGGGTGTGGAGATTACTTGAAAATAAACGTTTAAAAAGTAGTAAAAAATAGGGGTGACTGGGTAGCTCAGTGGGTTAAGCCTCTGCCTTCGGCTCAGGTCATGATCCCAGGGTCCTCGGATCGAGCCCCACATTGGGCTCTCTGCCCAGCGGGGAGCCTGCTTCACCCTCTCTCTCTGCCTGCCTCTCTGCCTACTTGTGATCTCTCTCTCTCTGTCAAATAAATAAATAAAATATTTTTAAAAAGTAGTAAAAAATAAAAAAAGTAAAAGTGCATCATGAGTAACAAAGGGTTGGTTCAAATTGTCACTTCCCCTTCAAACTTCCCATTATAGCATACTGGAAAACAGCAAGCTAACAAAATTGAGAGTTAACAAACCAGATTTTGACAATATAACTTCTGGCCAACTTTTATGGATATTCTAAGGCAGAATAGTGAGTTTTCTTTAGGATAAAATAGTGACGGCCACAGACTGCGTATATTAAGATTGTTTCTTTTTCATTACCAGATGATAAACAATGAACACCTAGAATACGGACAGTAAAAGCCAAGCACTGTGGAAGATATAGAACATCTCTACTGATCAGGATACAATGAAGTGTTACATTTGTCATATAGACTTTGGGTTGTCTGGCTGGCTCAAGTCGGTAGAGCATGTGACTCTTGATCTCAGGGTTGTAAGTCAAGGTCCAGGTTGGGTGTAGAGATTATTTCAAAAACAAAACAAAACAAAAACTCTGTCATGTAACTACTTTGAACATCAATTTTCTTATTAAAAAAATGGTATAAAATACCAGGTTTTCTACCTGTAAGAGTTATAAGATAATGTATTACATTTACAAAACTTAAGGCATTATTTATTTATATATTTAAATAGTATTCTTGCCAAATTTAAGCAGTTGTTTTGGGGAGGGGGTTCAGCAATAAAGTGTTATGAAGTCGATGGGCAAACTGAAGTGCTAGACATTGAAGGACAATGACACGTGATCCAGCATTTCTAAGGAATGCGGGTTACCAATGGTTGTAAATCATTCATGTTAGTATTGAACAACCAGACATGGAGAAATCTCACTAGCAAAATGATTAGTGAAAACAATGCAAATGGCTCTGCAAACAGTGCTTGTAGCCTGGAGCTAGATGAAAAGGTTGAATGATCTTTGTTTATGTGAACATAAAACCCCACTTCACCCCGCCTACAGCGCTGGTTAGGCTCCTTTGAGTGAACCAGGCCCTGTCCTTCTGGTCCAGGTACCAGACTAAGTGTATTGCTTGTATTACTCCGCTTAATCTTCCTCCAAACACTGTGGAGTACTACTCCCTGTTTAGTAGATGAGAAAATGATCGACTGAAGAGGGTGTGGCCTCCAACACTATACAACTGGGAAGACGAATCCATGGAGTTAAAAGTTCATGAACAGAGCTCCCAGCCATTTTGCTTTCTTCCCTCTTAGGCCCAAATCCTAGTTCTTACAATAAAGGCCTCTTGAAGACATTACAAAAGTCAGGATAAGTTAGGAACATACTTCTTGTACTGGATTGAATAGTGTCCCCCCAAAATTCATGTCAACCTGGAGCGTCAGAACATGACCTTGTTTGGAAAGAGGGTCTTTGCACACGTAAGTCATTAAGATTGAGATCGTACTGGAGTAGGGGGCTCTAAATCCAACATGACTGGTGGGAGTCCTTACAAGAGAAAGGAGGAGAGACAGAAGAACACACAGGGACACACAGGGAGAAGGCCATGTTGCTCCAGAGGCAGAGATTGGATTTATGCTGCTACAAGCCTAGGAACACCAAGGATTGCCAGCAACTGTCAAAAGTTAGGAGAGAGGCATAGAACATCCTCTCCCTCTGATCCCCCAAGAAGGAACCAAACCTGCTGACACTTTGGTTTTGGACTTCCGGCCTCCTGAATGGTGAGATAATAGATTTCTGTTGTTTTGAGCCACCTAGTTTGTGGTACTTTGTTAGAGATGCCCTAGGGAACTGGGGTCCCTGGGTGGCTGAGTCGGTTAAGCAGCCGACTCCTGATTTCGGCTCAGGTCAGGATCTCAGGCTCCTGAGATGGAGCCTGGTGTCAGGCTCCATGCTCAGCAGGGAGACTGCTTGCGTTTCTCTCTCTCCCTCTGTCCCTCCCCCGGCTTCACCCTCTATCTCTTTCTCTCTGTCCCTCTAAAATAAATAAATAAACCTTAAAAAAAAAAAAAAGAAGAAGAAGAAGAACTATAGAAGCCCTAGAAAGCTAATACACTTATCTATATTCATTATTCTATGAGTAGGTGTATTGTCTGTATGATTCCACCAAAAAGATACTTATATTAATTAATTGACCCACTATATATTCAAAGATTTTATTTATTTGTTTGTCAGAGATAGAGAGGGAGAACACAAGCAGGCAGAGCAGCAGGCAGCAGGCAGAGGGAGAGAGAGAAGCAGGCTCCCTGCTGAGCAAGGAGCCCCACGCAGGATTCCATCCCAGGACCCTGGAATCATGACCTGAGCTGAAGGCAGTGGCTTAACCCACTGAGCCTCCCAGGCGTCCCAAGATGCTTATTTTTATAGTGGAATACTATTTATGCCAAGTATTTAGCAGAAATTATTGTTTTTAGACACCATACTCTGATGATTTACTTTTCACCTCCATTTTATAGATGAGAAAACAAACTCAGAATTAAGTGATCTGCCCCAAATTAAATTAAATAGCTAATAGTAAAGCCAAGGTGAGGCTTGTGTCTATATAGTTCTAGACCTCTTACTCCTTTGGTTTTGATCCCGTGTCTTTGTGTGTCCCAAGAGGTCCTGCCCCATCGGTCTTGCCTTCTTTTCCATCTGCATCTTATTATTTGCTTCTCTCTCTCTCCCTATGAATGTGTGCTCTCTAACCTAAAAATTGTCTCTCTGCCCAATTTCATTCAGCCCCTATTCGGCCAGAAGTCTGAAATAACGACGGCACCCTGACTGTTCTACTCCCTCACCACCTTTTCAGGGTACATCTTCCTGATACTGGACTCCAATTTTCACCACCATGTGACTGAAACTTGTGTGTCTCACATAAAATCATTAAACTTTCAAATAGGGCCTTTTCTGGGAAAACCTTCATCCATCCAAGTTAGGATGAATTACTCTGTGCTAGCATTTTCTTCTTTTCTAATTTTGCTCATGCTATAGGTTTCTTCTCTTTGGAAAGGCCTGCTCTGTTTGTCCCAAGGTATTTAACTGAGGTCCTACTCATTGTTTAGGGTTTAATTCAATTATTCAAGGTCAGACCAAACAAATATTTGTTGAGTAATTAACACTATGTTCTGGGCTCCAGTTCTAGATACTAGGGATAAAATGAAGAATCAGACATAGACCCCACTCTTGAATTTAATGCTTATTAAATTTTATCTAATTGCATTTAACTTTTAAAAATAAATTCATTAGGTCTCCTCTATAAGCATTTTCTAATTCCTGCC